TGTCTGTGTTACTGTTAGAAGGGGGAGGATGGCTGCTGTTAATTCCATTAATTTTCTCTGCACTGGAACCTAATCTTCCTCTTCATTTTATGAAGCTACTGGATTATAAAAAGTTCATAAAATCATAGAATTTTAGGGATTGGAATAGATCTTACAGATAATCTAGTCTCAGCCTCCCCTGCTCTGGGCAGGGACACCTCACTAGACCAGGTTGCTCAAGGCCTCATCCAGCCTGGCCTTGAACACTGCCAGGGTTGAGACATCTACTGCTTCCCTGGGCAAGCTGTTCCAGTGTCTCACCTACCTCAGAGGAAAATACTTATTCCTAATATCTAATCTAAACTTCTCTTCCTTCAATTTGAACCCATTACCCCTTGTCCTGTCACTGCAGTTCCTAACAAAGAGTCTCTCTCCATCTCTCTTGTCGGCCCCTTCAGATACTGAAAAGTTGCTATGAGGTCTCCACGCAGTCTTCTCTTCACCAGGCTGAACAGTCCCAACTTCCTCGGCCTGTTTTCATAGAGGAGATGCTTCAGTCCTCTTACTTGATGACTTTCTTGCAGGTGAAGCCAAAAACCATTTCTTGGTCTGTCACTAATTCCTTTATAATTCAAAATAGTAGAGGTTTCCTTTCTGTAAACTATAGTATCCATCTTAGAAGTGATCGTGAGTTCTCTGAGTTGTACTTCTTCACTACTCTGAATGGCTGGAGAATGCTTACACAGCATAGTCTTTTTACATAGTCTGTCTTTTGCTGTGACTGTCTGGGTCTGCTCTGCTCACCTTCACAAGAAATTAAACCCTTTAATAACATTCAACTTTGTTTTCTGCAAAAGCCTAATTTGTGTGTGTGCCATCTGTAATGGTCAACTTCAATACATTGGGGAAAAACTTAAGCCAAAACAGAATCTAGGAACAATACAAACATTGCCTGCATTGGTATGGATTTGGATTATGCATTGCACTTTCTGTGCTACCCATGATGCTTTTAATTTTTATTCTTCCCAACCAGAAAAGTCACTGTTCAAGTATTAAATAACGGACTGGGGCACATAACCAGGACTTGTTTGTTTTGTTTTGGTTTTTTCACTGTAATTGATAGTAGGAAACACATTTCTAGGACAAAATGCAAATGAGACTGTTAGGGGAAAAATGACCTTTTATGTAATTTAATTTGAAGTTGGTTATGTAAAGTAATTGCATGAACCTTTTTGACTCAGCTTGGGGGATACTGGGATAATATTGATTTAAGCAATCATAACATCAGGGAAATGAGAAAGAAATACTTTTTTCCTTGTCTTCCTTCCAGCCAGGGTTCTGTCATTTAGTAGTAATAGATGCGTGCGGTCCAGTTTTAAATAATACAGACAACAGTGCATCCACTCCTTTAGCTGTGACTTAATTTTATAACTAGTAACCCTGTTTTACATTCAGCTCGTGTAATTCAGTGATGATAGTGATAATGCAGAAGTATATTCCAGGTTAAGCAGAGAGATCTGGGAGCTAGCAGCATGTTTTATTGCAGAGATGAAATCTGTGTGGCCCAGGAGTCTGCAATGATCAGAGCAGCAAAGAGCAATGGTGGAACTTCCCATATTGAAAGCTGGGGAACCTTTGCTACTTACTCATTTCACTCCCTGTCATTTGGACAACTGTTCCAGAGGTAGCTTTGTTACTTTTCAGATCGATCTCTGTGGTGAATGTGAAAGGCTGTATTGTAATGTAAATAGTGGCAAACAGAGAAAGTGGATAAGTATTTTTTTCATGTTTGTAATAACGAATTGGTGGATGTCACTCTTGATCAGCTGTTAACCTGTTTCAACTTACTGACCTTTGTTCACCGTTTGGAGTTTGATTTTTATCGTAGGTACAGGGAGAAAATAGTTTTTGCAGCACAGAAGTGCAAAAGCAGTTATTGATTTCATCCAAGATGAAGGTCATGCGATAAAACCGTCAAATTGGGATCTTTCTAGTTTTACCTCGTTCCTTTTTGTGAGTTGTTACTAACAGTGTGTGTTGGAGCAGGTGGGAACATTGTTTTGGTCACACGGTCTTGTCATGGGTGCTAGGCAGGGGGATTGTAAAGCAAGAGCTTTAGAGCAGATCCCTGATGTGTCTTTAGCTGGGACATGTAAACAAATCATCAGTTTTAGATTCAACGTTTTGAAAAAGTGATCTCAGCTTCTTAACTGTGTGTAAACAATTGGAAAATTGACACATTTCAGATCCAGATAGTTAATATTATTGCATTGTATAATTATATAAGGCTTATATATACATACACACACACATATGTGTGTATATAGATACAAATAGTGCAAAAGTTCAGTGCCTTGCCATTAGTTTTTCTAGTAACTGGCAAAGGAAGGGTCGAGTTTGTTTCTCAAGCCAGTTTCTCAACCTTTCAGCATTTGTGTTTCTGCATGTGTTTGTTGAAGCAAAACCAGTTTCCATTTCAAGGCAGATAAAAAAATAATAAACACTGAGCACAGGAAGTTGCAGTAATATTTAGCCAGAATATGTTAATGTGGACTAAATTAAAAAGAGATTGATGCAGATTTTCTGTCTTTTGTTATTTTTAAATTAACATTTTTTGGTCTGTAGCAGCTCCTTTGTACTGTTAGCTGGACTGCAGTGAGTGCTTTCCCATCACTGTGGCATTGATTGCATTGCTGACCTGGACTCTAAAGCAGCCTCTTATCCCTATTTAATATGCCCAGTGGAATGATGGGTTCTGAGTTTTGAAATTGTGGATTTGTTACTGTAAAGTCTGCTCCTGCCCTTTTCAGTGGCCTCCATTCTGGATTTTCTTGAGCATCGTATTAGTCTTATTTTATGCTACTGATGGAAATTATCACTTGCTTAGTAACCAGTACTGGGGAATGTGAATTAACATTACATGCCATAGCACTGAGGTGATGGGAGAATGGAGATGTAGAAGGGATCTGTCTAACTGTTTCTCTGCTGCAGGACTGGAAGAAAACGTGGCCCCCTGGGCAGAGTTCCTCTGGGAGAGGCAGCCTTTTGACCTCCTTTCCTCCCTCCCCCATCCCTTCATGTGAAGTCTGTACTTGCTCTGTATGATGGCATTTGCTGTGATATGTGCTCATAAAGCACTTTTTGTGAGCTGTGTTGTAGCTGAGCTCACCTAAGTCTTTCAGCCTCAACCTTTATCTTTTGTTAACTTTATTGTGTAATCCTCCCTTCTGGCTTTTGAAACACACTTGCTTTCACCTGTGCAAAATCTCTCTCTTGGACAAAGTTTGCCTCTTTTCTTCACGAAAATTCAACTTTGCACTTCTTGTCCTGTTTTATGTCATTTTTAACTTCCTGCCACTACCTTGTGGACGGAGTACTTTATTTATCCTTTTGCTCTCTTTCATAGAATCACAGAATGGCTTGGGTTTGAATAGATCACCTGGTTCCAACCCCCCTTGCCAGAGGCAGGGACACCATTTGCTTGACCAGGTTGCTCAAAGCCCCATCCAGCCTGGACTTGATCACTTCTAGGGATGGGGCATCCACAGCTTCCCTGGGCAACCTGCTCCAGTGCCTCACCACCCTCACAGTAAAGGGTTTCATCCTAGTAGCTAATCTATGTCTACTCTCTTCCAGTTTGAAGCCATTACCCCTTGTAAATAGTCTGTCTGTCTTTCTGGTTGGCACCTTTCAGGTACCAGGCAGCCTCAATTAGGTCACCCTGAAACCTTCTCTTTTCCAGGCTGAACAAACCCAATTCTCTCAGCCTTTCCTTATAGGAGAGGTTCTCTATCCTCATCATCTTGTTGGTCCTCCTCTGGACTCTTGCATCACTCTTGGCCACCTATTTGCCAATTTTTCATATCAAATCTGTGTTGTGTGATTTCTAGGCAAAAGATGGGGAGGGGCAAAGTTCTGTCACTGTGCTTTTTTAGCCTGTTGAATGGACAATTGAATCTCTAACTTCCACATTCTTGAACAAGACCAGATCAGGAGAAAAATCTGCTTCCAATCACCCTGGTCGCACCTTTGTGTCCAAACACTTGTGAACTTGCCTACCTTCAGATCTAGGCTACTTTGGGCCACTTTGTGCTTATGAAGTCTCAAGCATAACTTCGACTCCATCAGTTGCAAACTAATGATTACACAAATGGCACTAAATGACTCAGGGCTGATGAGTGGCATTATCCCCATTTATTTTGGGGGTTTATACAGTTGTGTTATCCCTTTTTCTTGGAGGGTCTGTAGCCTTTGCAAGATAAAGTGCTGAGAAAGAATGGTGTATATTTTGAGTCAGTTCTAATGTTCAGATGGATTCCTTACCAGCATGAGGCACAATATGTCAACCAGTGATATTTCAGTAACGAAATCAAGATGCTGCAGCATCATTCAGTTTCTTTCAGTTGTGAAATTGTTTTTAATAGAGGTACCAGTGTTAGGAGTTGGGCTGATCTGTATGAAAACATGCAATTTAAACTCTGAAACTCAGAGTGTATGCTATGCTAAGCCTCATCTTAATTTAGAGGGGAAAAAACCGTAGCTTTCATATGTAAGGACTAAGCAGTGTCTCCACTGGTAGTTGTTAGTTTTTGTGTCTGTGTTGGTCTGTGGTATCTAATTTTTTTAAAACTGCTTTCTGAAAACCAGGACACAAGTTGACAGATCTAGAACGAAGGGAACTACTGGCAACAGCAGCATCTTTGTATGTGGCTGAACAACTGAGATCACAACGATTTCTGGGGACTCCCAGGTAAGTTCATTTCTAGGAGCTCAGATGTGCTGGTGCATTTTGTTAATGGCATCTTCTCATGCACAAGAGTAACTGGTGAGAAACTGCATGGTTTCTTAATACAGTCTGTTTTTTCTAAATTTAAATGAGCTGTAGCTTACGTTTCCCTACTCACACAAGTCATACGTGATTATTTTTATTCTACGTATTAGCAAACTAATAGGCACAAAAATGTGTTACAAGCCAGTAGAGTAATTAATGCACATCAGGAGTTTCATTAATGCAAAATGTTGCTGCATTAGTAACTAACCACAAATTGAGCATCATAAATTTCCCATGTGCCCATTTGAAGCAATCTAAGCGCTTTGGGATAATATGAATATTCAGCTACAGAGCTTTCAAATATTGTGGATTTGTGTAAGTAATTTGTTACCTTGATGAAGAACCTTAATAGTTTAGGGTTTAATTCTGAAAACACTTTCTGACGGCAAATGCTGGAAGAGTCAACACCTTGCTTTAAGTATGGGAGGTATTTTGGTGCTTTTGTTTTCCTAGTCCCTCGTTTTTTTGAACAGTAGCTGCTAGTAGCCTAGGCAGTACTGTTAATTGGCCAATCATGGCAGTAGCCCATGTCAAAATACTAATTCACTTCTTTGGCTTTTTGGAATGGCATGCTTTTTCCTCTAGGATGTTCCTGGCTTTTATTGTCCTCTAGCCCATCGTGTCAATGCCTTGAGACCCTGTGTTAGAACAACTGAATTAGTGAAGCTTGCTTGTGTAGTTGGTGTTAGCAATAGTTGCATTCAGTGAATCCTGACTTAGCATAACTCTTCTTGCCTTGCTTTTTTTCATGCAGTTGTGTGCGTGTTTGTGTGAGAGGGAAGTCAGAGTGCAGCATAGACATTATTCACATTCCATGCCAGTGGTTTGACAGTGTATTCTATTACTGATTTTACAGTGGTCAGGAATAAATCAAATGTGGTTTCAAGAAGTCTTTATTTTTATTTGTACCCGCAAAGATAATTAGTGCCATATGGTATTAAAAAAAAGAAAAAAGAGACACTTAGGGCAAGCATAACAGCTTTGTAATATATAGCATATGTAGGGCTAGGTCATTGCTTGCCTTGTCACCTATAGGGGGAAAGTAAAGCACCTTTTTATTTCCTTCCACAAGTTAAATCCTCCATACTGAATGGTATAAGAAGAAAAGACACTCAAAGGCCACTGTTATCCTCCATACTGAATGGTATAAGGAGAAGAAAAGACACTCAAAGGCCACTGTTACCTAAATAAAAGACGAATCAGGGAAAATGAGGAGGAGCCTTGATTGTAGTTTTTACTGACCAGCACAGGAATTTAGCAGTCTGGTACTGCTGCAGAGAAGTAATGGATTACTTTGTACTTAGAGTAAGGATAGGAATTGTTGATTTTAATAGTGATTATCAAACTGCTATTGCATTCCCTGCTCTGATTTGCAATGATTTTTTTTATCTGCCTTGTAAAATGATTTTGCTAGCTAAAAAGAAAAGGAATACAGTTTTTGAAGAGTCTCTTAATGTTTTCTTTCTATTGCAAGTACTTTTTTTTTTTTTCAGTACTAGGTGTCTATCTAACTTAATAGAAAGGATGTACACAACTATTTTAACTGAGATACCAAATAGGTAAATGACGAATTGCATCGAGCAATCAGGCATGGTCATTCATCTCTTTTTGAGCTGTTAGGGAAACACATACACCCCTATTCTAAAAAAAAAATAGCTTATTTTTGGAGTGCTATACAAACTCCATGACACATATTATTCCACCATGAGCAGAGAGGGCAGCAGAGTCTGGCCACATAAAGTCTGTTAAACTAGATTGAGGTCTGATTTCCAGATTTTAAATGGTGAAGGTAACAAATCTTTTCAGTATAGGGAAGATCACTTTCTCTTGCTATGATGGGGTGTACTTTCTCTTGCTATGATATGATGGGGTTATGTTCAGATCAGCTTTCAAAGGATTGACTTTTCCTGTCTGAGGCATATGCAGATCTGGAGTGAAACCTTCAGAAGTCAAGCCTTAAAATTTTCTCCAAGTGGTGTCCAAGTGTAGTTCTTATTGAATGTCTTGGTTTCTATCCATACATATTGTTAGATCTACTTGCTTTAATGAGGCCAAGTAAGGACAAGCTAATGCAAAAACACTTACTGGTAGGTAACTTCTGAAGAAACCAAACCTGGTAATGATATGCTTTTCCCAATATCATGCAGCTTCTTCAGTGGAAAAAAATCCAAGAAGTAAAGGCAGAATGAGGTCAAAGGACTGTGCAGTGTCTTGGACAGTGTCTTTCATTCCTTAGGGCAGTTAGTGCCCTCCCTCTAGAGGGGGTGGAGGACTGTGGAGCATACAAGTTACTACAGTCCCATTAAGGACCCTTCACCATGTCCTTAACTTACCCAAACTGCATCTGACTTGTTTATGAAGGTGTTCCATATCATGAGTACTTTTTAAGGAGCAGGATTGTACTTAGAGAAAAGACTACAATCCGTTTGAAAAATATTAATAAAATGTGCAGGCTAGGAACCTGTGCTGCTGGCAACAAATCAAAAAGGTCAGTTTTCATCTTGGGTGCAGTTCATTGTGGCAGAACGAGACATTTGGGTTCTGTGTGAGTTTTAAATCCATGCTGAAGGACGTAAGTGTACTAGGCAGACTGCACCCTCCAAAGTTGATCCATAACATTCTGCTAATGGTTTGGACAGGTATATTGATATGTTGATCATTACCTTCAAAATTTCAGCTCTCTGGCACTACTTATTTTGACAGCATTTTTTTTTGTATTCACTGAAAGCAATTGAGCAATTTTTGTGCGAAAAAACCTACTGAAAAGTAGTATTTTGAAATTGTGCAGTATTCTAAACTTGTCACGGCTGTCAAATAGACGGTTTTCTGCTGAACTTGAGTTATATGCTTATCTTTGGTTTTAATTTGTTTTCCTTTCCCTTTTGGGAGCCATATTTGTAATATGCATTCTTTTCACAGCTGCAGGGGAATTTTGGGTTCCCTTTTTTCCCTGTGATTTATTCAGCCCAAGATCAGGATTGTTATTCTAGTCAGACAGATAGATAGAGAGTACCATGCTTGGAAGTCTTCACAGAAGCTCCAGTTTTCCCTGTCAGAGTTACTGAGACTGTAATCAGGTGAAATGCAGCTGAGCCAGATTAAGGAATTGTCACAGCCTCATCCTTCATTGCTCTCTCTTTCCTCCTCCTCCCCAGCTATGCAGGTGTGATCTTGTGTGTAGTTGCTTTCTATTCTGGTTCTGCTAAAATGCCACATATCAGCATAGAAAACATTTAATAATGGTTTACTTTACTCTATATTATTCTGTCAGAAGCAAGTTACTCATGACAAGTGAAATTATTCTGGAAGGGCTACAAGAGTGGAAATGTGTAGCAAGGAGGAAGAGGTGAGCAGAGGATGGCCCATAAAAGGGATGCAGAGGTGGACCTTGGCTCTGTGCCATAGATGAGACTAGTGGCCTCATGAGGGGGATTCTCCTCTTCAATCAATGATATTTGCTGGGATGTGACTGGAAAATAGGTATTTTGCAGTCCCTTGGGTGACTGAATCATCAGCTGTGAGGTTCTTGCTGGAACATGCTCTCATGATTGGGCAAGCTATTCCCACTTCTGGATCCAACACCCAACTTTGTTCAGCTAGTTTCAATCAGGCCTGATCCCTGCAGTGACATTCGTTGTTGCAGTAGGTTGTCTGCTGTTGAGGCTGGTGCAGGCCAAAGGTCAGTTTGCCTTTCCTGTTTTAGAATAAATGGTGGTATGATTTGCGTGGAGCAGCCACAGGTGAGTTTCCACTGTCTGCATTGCTATGTGTTCCTTTTGTGTGTTATGCTAACCCTGCCCTTAGCAGAGAGGGTTGGGACTAGATGATCTGTAAGGTCCATTCCAGCCCTTAAATTCTATGATTCTATGTGTCCCTGGCCTCACCAACTAGTTGAGTCCTCTTAGGACTAATTTGCCAACCTTTAGCTAGAACAGCTGTAGGAGACCTGTGCGTGCTCAGTTATGGAATATAGGCATTTACTGTTGTGATGCAATCGAATAATTAGAGCATTTTCTGTGTGACTTTTTAAAACTTTTTAAATTTAACTGATGTTTATTTAACCCATTTTCTTGGGAAAATGGTGGTTGTGGGGTGATTTGGGTGTTTTGGGTTCTTTCTGGTTATGGGTTTTCTTAAAACTGTTTTTGAAAGATGATCAGCTAGTGAAAATGCTTGGTATTTTGTGGGACAGATACTAATGTGAATATTTCACTGTGATATCCAGATAATAGGGGCACATGTTTCCTACAGGAAAGATCCATGAATGATTAATGACTGTTTCATTGTTCAGCTTTCAGTTATTTTACCTAGGACTTTCCTACATATTCTGTAGTCCTCTTTATTGTGAAGCTGGTGCCACCCACAGCTGCTGAACAGATTTACAGCATCTAGTAAAACCCCAAGGTCTTCCAGACAGAACTCGATCTCGTTTCAAGTGGAAACATATTTTGGCTGAAGTGAATCCAGCTTCTTTTACGTCTGTTTGATGTAGTTAGCCTTTGAGACCAAAAATGATGTTGTACAGTTGAATCTTCACATTTTGGCATTAGACTTGTTTTCATTAGTGGGTTGGGAGGGGAATAGGAGAGTGTCTCTCCAGGTGTGGCTACATCATGCTATCTCATGGGTCTACTAATGTGATGTTTATACTTCTAAACCCAATTGCCTGCAGCACTTCCTATGTGTTGCTTGTGTTGGCTGCTAAGTGTATTTTCCTAATTTTTCTATGGGTTTTACCCTTTCATCATTTATGACTTGGAAAAAACCAGTGAGGCTGCATGCCTATATTACCTGATACTACATGCAGAAAGATGGTAGCACATTGGAAAATGTTTTATATTTATATTGTGTGTTCAATGTAGAAGACTGGGTTAGGGAGTCTTGAGTTAAACTTCTTACTGTTCTTGTGGGACCTTGGA